TGTAGGCACCTTCTGAAACTGATCTGCTGCGCTCGATGGAAAGGTTAGCAGCCCGGTGTGACATGGCGGGAATGCGTGTCAACGAAGATACGAGGTACTTTCTTGTTTTCCTGCCCGTTACTCCCTTCAAATAATCGGCGAAGCAGTGCATCAGGTAGAGAAGTTCAAGTACCTTGAAGTCGTGTTTACTAGTGATGGAAAATTTGAGGAAGAGATCGACCGGTGAATTGGAGTAGCCAGTGGCATTTTGCGTGAACTGGCCTTATCTATCAGTCTGAAAACTAAGTTGTCTATATTCAAGTCGATCTTTGTCCCCATGCTTACCTGCGGTAATGAATTGTGGGCCATAGCTGAAAAGCTTCGATCCCAAGTCATGCTTGTGAAATGAACTTTTTGAGACGAGTCGCTAGCTTTGCGCTTCTCGGCATGCTATGGAGTGCAGAAATCCGCCAAAGCGCTGATGTTCGTGCAGTGCTTCATCAGATTTAGAAGTCACAGCTACGACGGTTTGAGCATCTGTTGCGAATGCCTCCAGAAAGTAAGGCGAAGCAGCTAGTTATTCCCCACCGAGTGGTAGGAGGCCTATAGGACGGCCAAGATTGACCTAGTTGAACTACATGGAAATGGTCTCCTCTAGACTTCGGTTGTCTTCTACCGAAGCTCAGACTGTGGCACAGGATCGGGAACATTGGAAGCAGAGTCTGATGCGTTTGTCTCTGCGACCTCGAAGCGGTTATGGAAGATGAAGATGAAGGTTATGAGATGACAGTAACTTTGTAGATGGGTCAGATATCGTTGGATTCTCTTCTCAGTCAGAGCTCAGTTGTAATCGAAGGACTGACGAAGAGGCAGCGACGAAGACCAACGAAAGAACGAATCGAAATGTTGTGCGAAATGTTTTACGCCATCGTCGGTATTACTTCTAATAACGTTGTGATACTTTATCATTTTAACGTCTTTCTTATGAACATGTGGCGAAGAATCAATAGGAGGGAAAGAAATGTGCTTTTAGCATATCACTCTGATTACACAAATCAAAACTCAGCAAGTCTGCCCTGGAATTGAACGCTGCCTCTTCAGTTCTCTGAACAGAGAAATAGTTTTGTTGTTATTGTTAATGACGGACCACGTTATCAAGGATTGTGACGTCAGTTTCTTCGTTGCATTGGA